GAGGAGGAGGAGGCACCAGGAGGAGGAAGAACAAGACAGTCCTCCCCCACACTGTATGTTTGGGGAGTATGTTGAGTTTAAGTTGGGGGTTATGTTGAAGGGTATGTTGAGGAGTATGTTGAGGAGTATGTTGAGGGTATGTTGGATCTATGTTTGAGGAGTATGTTGGGAGTATGTTGAGGGGTATGTTGAGAGGCATGTTGGGTTATGGTGAGGGTTAAATTAGGAGTATGTCGGATGTGCGCCAGAAGAAGAGTATGCTGAGAGTATATGGCGTATATACTTGGAGTATATGCTGGGTATATACTGGCAATATATCATCAATAAGGCTACCTCAAGCACCTACCTTTAAAGTAAGCACACCTTCTTCCGTGTGTGTGTGTGTGTGTGTTTTCCCTAACCTATTGTTATCCTATTCCCTCTAGTCTGTTGTCAACCTAACCTAACGTTCACATTTACGAGAGAAAAAACAAATTCTCTCTCTCTCTCTCTCTCTCTCTCTCTCTCTCTCTCTATATATATATATATATATATATATATATATATATATATATATATATATATATATATATATATATATATTAATATAAATACAATGAAAACGTGGATAAGATAAATCTTGATAAAATCACACAGCTCCCTCTACGGTTGTGTGTTGGTGGGGGATTAGTGGATGTCATCATTATGACCTGACCTCATGTTTTAGGTCACCCTGTATATTTAAGCCTCTCTCTGTCCATGTAATCTAGTTGCCTCTGAAGATGTCTTGAATAAAGGGCAAGAAAGCTAAGGTACTCCGTTGTTTCCATTTTCCCGTGTGATTTATCAAGATATATATATATATATATATATATATATATATATATATATATATATATATATATATATATATATATATATATATATATATATATAATGACAAAAGAGCTTTCAATTTAAGGTCAGGCAATTACTGTACATCAAGGTGAACGGATCGGTCGTAAAGAAAAAAACATAACAAAAAAGGTGACATGAAACGCTGAAACGAAGAAATGAGATTGACAGGATTGACATGTAAAACACGTCTCCCCCCTCCCCCACCCACCCCTTGACAATGCTATTCCAATTGATTTCGGATATGGACAAACCTACTCTACTTGACAATTAAAGTGAGAATTGGTTAGCGTTGACTAAATTCGTAAAATATAGTTTATTGGAAAGTGCTTTTGTGCTCCGACGCTGGAGTTTTTTTTTTAACCTTTTATTTTATTTTTTAAATTCAGGAAAAATTAATTAGTGTACGGTTGTAATTTGAGTGTGACCTGGAACTGTGTTTATTAGATCCGCTTAGTGTGACCTGGGGCTGTGTTTATGTCGACTCAGTGTGACCCGGGGTTGTGTTTATGTCGACTTAAGTGTGACCCGGAGCTATGTCGACTTAGTGTGACCCGGAACTGTGTTTATGTTGACTTAAGTGTGACTCGAAGCTATGTCGACTAAGTGTGACCCGGAACTGTGTTTATGTCGACTTAAGTGTGGCCCAGGGCTTTGTTTATGTTAATTTAGTGTGACCCGGAACTGTATTAGTTGTCTCCACTCAGTGTGACCCGGAACTGTGTTTATTATCTCCACTAGGTGTGACCCAGACCTGTGCTTATATCAAGAAGTGTGGCATAATGGTGTAAACTTCCCCCTGGGGTCTGACTGCCCTGCTCTGCCCTGCCCTGCCCTGCCCTGCCACTCTGGTCTCCCTCCACTCGTCTCAGGGATAAACATCACATATTTAGCCTCGTTTAAAAGCCGTTTCTCTCGATCTAAAAACATGTCAAATAATGACTCGTGGTTAACAGGAGACAGTGATAACATGAACGACTTATCACCCTCCCCCCACCCCACCACTCCAACCCCTCTGAGTACCATGATTTAACCTCTCGAGTATGAGTTTAAACCCCACGAGAATTTAACCTCTCAAGTATGTGGACTTAACTCCCCCCTCCTCTCCTCCAACGATTTTAATCCCTTGAGTACGATTACTTCACACCTCGATTAAAATGATTGAATCCCTTGAGTAAAATGATTGAACCATTTGGAAACCACACATTGACGACCTAAATCCCTTGAGTACGATGACTTATTCACTCGAGTACAATACCACAAGTCTGACGTACTCAAAGGATGAAGACAGGTTCCATCATGGAGTAACTCATTGTACTCCGAGGGGTTAAGTCATAGTTCTCAAGGAGTTAATATATCTAAATCAAGAGGAGAATCACTACACGTCCTTACTCAACGGTAGATAATACACGTAACATCAAACAGGTAAAACTCATTATGCCCACCACTATGTAACACTGAATTAAAAACATTACTTGTCTGTGTGATCTACTACAAGTAAATTGTGAAAGCGAGACTGGTGTATATTTCCCGTGGAGTCTCTGTGATAAAAACTTCCTGTCGTTTCATAGCTTCGAATGTCACTCACATCTATAAAAACACATACTGTATATACTGTACTCCACTGTAAATGTTGCCTCGTTGAATAAGAATTCTATTATAATGCAAGACGAAAGGTTTGTTCACTGGCAGGGAGGTGAGGGAGGTGAGGGAGGGAGGGGGGAGGGGAAGGAGGGTCACTAACCACAACAATGGATTTCGTTTTACAATTACTATTCGGTTCAGGTGATTGTGATATATGATAACGTTTTGTATATATTATTCAAATATTATACCACGTGTTTGATCTAGCAAGGCGCTCCAAATGGTCTGCACACACACACACACACACACACACACACACACACACACACACACACACACACACACACACACGAATAAAACCCGAACAATGCATAGCAGTTAAAGCGCTGACAGACAGACAGGCAAACATAACAGAGCAAACAATACGCCTAACGAACCTTTCCCAGGTAATAGAGCATTAAACAAAGCCGTTCGTGCGTGGCATAACTCAAGCCTATATCTGACTAGCTAATTACAACCAACATAATCATTAACCACAGTGAAATAATTATAACACTGTAATCACCAGAAATAATAATAATAATAAAATAAACTCAGGGTCTCCCATCATCACAGACAGAACAAGTCAACAAACAGCTAAACCACTAATGATCAAATTCCTTTCAGACCTTAATAGTCAACACCCCAAGTTATCATATACACTGACCAGACGAACGAACTGACAGCATAATGTGTTTACGTCTCCCACCGCGACCCAACCACAACCACTATTACACAAATAGGTCATATAATTATAATACATAACCGACCCCAAGCGCAGGTAGCCAAGGCAAGTAGATCTCACCACCAAAGGGTCAAGGAGTACACCCACGACTCCACTAACACTGCATCACTGTCAGCATTAACTAAGTGTCCACCATCCAATTTCCGAAGGTGGCAGCGAGGTTCACCCCCCTCCCTCCCTCCCTCCCACCTGACCACCACCAATACACTTGGCGGAGCAGTATCCTCATCATTCTTCCCTCACTAGTTCCCGTATGTCACCGATCGTGTTGCACCACCGGGCCAGAGACTTCCACCAACTACATAATGAAAAGACACACACACTTCTACTTGTTGGTGGACTCGTGTGATTACTAACCTTATTACGCGCCTAAAGATCTCAGTTGTTGAAGTGAAATAATAACTGTATAATGTCAACGAGTGAGAAGTCATTGCCTCACAAAATAAGGGTAAACTGGGTGAGACAAGGGCTAAGATCGTCGTGGCTGGTGTCCACATCTACACCCGTCTCGTATCACGGGAGTAAACAGAAGTATTCCTTCCTTGATCTCTGTTCAAACGTGTTGTATGCAAGGGTAGCAGAGTAATGAACTTGGCTATATACAATAAATAATTCACCAGGTGTTGCTGCCTGCTGCCACACACACACACACACCTGCCTAATGTTTATAGATTAAAATAACAATTATGGCTGGGAGAGGCATTAATCAACTGGACGGTACAAGGGGGCTTGCTTACCCACCCCATTGCATTTGGTTAGTTAATTACACGGTGATATATGGCCGAGCATAATACAAACACTGTGCCCACATTAACTAGGGAGTCTTCCTTTACCAAGTTGACCATCATAACATACAGGCGAGTCAAGGACAAAATTACACATAACACACACCTGTGACTATGAACTGCTAGAACGTGAGACCGAAGTGTTTGTCTACCTATACTGTACATGGCGCTTTAGTATACCACGTGAGTTTAGCACAGCTTCGAACAGGAGTGTAAAGAATCTTTCTCACATCCGCTCTACAGAAAACCCCCCCCAGAGATATGGTGTGTCTGGCGTGGTGTTGGACACGGTGTACACGGTGCGGCGAGGGGGAGGAGCGGTGACATGGACAATGGGTTGGCGGTGGTGAGGCGCGTGGCTTTCACCCCTGACAGCTGCTAGTGACTGTCCTCAACCACTATTGTCTGGTCGCCATACACCACTTCACTCTGCCTATCTCACATGTATTCCTCCACACTCATTTCCACTCTACCCTCCACTAATCTGTCCTTCATTCTCACACCTGGCCCATGTATTAGCCCCCACAGTCCCCTTTGCACTCACCCCTGCACTCTGACTCAATCGTCACCTCACTATATAAGAAGTGCGTATTAAACAAAAGAGGTTCAGAGTGGTAAGGGGAGGGAACAGTGCCAAGTCCCAGCAGCTCGTCGCCATCACTATCACCTTCCCTCTGGTTTCTCAGATGACCTATTCCATCGCTCCTCCTATACCTGAACTAATTTCTCTTAGGGAATAAATGACCAATCACTAAGACGACAGCCACGTCCGATAACAACTATTAAATAAACTAACTTCCTATCCCAATAATTAACACATCGTTTCAACCACCCACAAACACGGACCAATAATTACAACAGTGACGTCACAGCGAAAGTTAGGGGGTTTTAAGTAATTCTAATTAACAAGAGGAAGAGTCACGGTTAATGCGCCACCACCACCGACACAATCCCTAAATTGGTGCTCAACTTACCTTGTCGTCGATGCTCCTGTGGACGTGCGGGCGGCCTCCCATGGCGGCACAACGGCACACGCCATGCTGGTACGCCAGTTCCCCGATTGAGAGTTTGACTTTCCCTGAATCCTTCTTGGGCAACTTGCCACTCTCCCGGCGACCACCATCATGGCCGCCCTTCTTCGTCGCTTGGTTCTTTTCCAGTTTGTCGTACTTGTCCTTCAGGTGGTCACTGTACGGGGAGTCGGGGAGGCTCTTGGCGATGGAGCCACGAGGTATTTTGTCATAGCGGCTCATTCTCTCCGAGGAGAACCTGTCCGTCAGTAACTTATCTGACTTATTGTTGGCGTTTAAATGGTCGACTTCAAACTGTGCGCGGTCGTAGATCTTGTCGACCGTTTCGTTGACCAGTTGTTTCTTGTCGGAGCGAGAGCCACTGGCCTGGCTCACCTGATCATACTGGATCTTCTCATACTGCGGCGGTCGGTCCGTCTTGTGGCGACTGCTGTACGACGAGCTGCTTGAGTAACGTTCCAGCTGATTCTTATTGTTGGATCCTTCCTCCATGATACTGTGAGAGCCTCGCTACCAACACAACACTAACGTTCACTCACACTCGACTTCACACTAACCAACACAACAGTTTCCAGGAGGCACAATGGTTCTGTCACTTCTTCAGTTTTTAATTAGTACAACCTAAAAATAAATCACACAGTAAATAAATAACTCCCAACACAATCCCACAATAATATACCAAGACGAGACAAAAGTAAATCACGGAGACGATGACGGAGACGATGACGAAGACCAAGACGACATGAGCCAGGTTCCTTATTTTCATACTCTGAATAACATGTTGCATATCTGTGAGGTATAGGGGTCCTAGTGTAAAGTTTCGAAACAATCTAACGAAACATGGCCAAGAGGAACGAACATACATACATACATACATACATACATACATACATATATACATAGACATACATACTAGAAAACAACAACAGCTATAATCTACAACCTTGATGAACGTTATTGAATGTAAACACCAAGAAATCATAAACATTTAACCAAACTTCATTTTATTAATAACTCCCGATTGTAATTTATATTTTACTGTTATTTTATTTTATTCACGTATATACTCGGATAGATACATTTTTTTTCTTTCTTTCTTGTCAAGTTTAAAAATATCTTCGGCACTGAGGAGGCAAATTTAGAAGGGAAAACAAATTAACAAACATTAATCTATTATACTCCCGAGGTTAATCTATGGACCGTCCTGGAAATTAATTAGTGAACTGGATCATTACTGCTAATTACCACATCTCTCAAATCGCATTAATCCTGGGGTAATTATTACATTTGCTCTTCAATCATCACATTGCATCAATAATCGCATTTCCAACCATGGTAATTATCCGTCATTATCGATTCCTCCCTTTTTTCCTCATTTCCACAACTTAATTACATTCATTATCAAATATCGTAATTATTGTTTTAGATAATATTTTTTTTACTACGATTATTATTTATTAATGAGGTTCTGTGAGTTTATTTCAATAAGATAATTTTTCATTCAATAATTACACATATATATATTATCTGGTTAATTATTTGTCGAGTACAGTAATTATTTTACTATTATTATCATTACTTTCTAGGAATTGACTCTCTCTCTCTCTCTCTCTCTAATGGCCACTCGACCCTAAACTAACTCGACCCAACACACACACACACACACACACACACACCTTTGTGGCCAGGAAGTGGCGCTCTGTCGTGAGTACTACATAGGAACCCGGAATTAATTAAGACTTTCGGTGTTCTAGACATTTGTTATGGTGACCTGTTACCGTTCAGGGATATGCGGGAACACCTGGGGTTAATTACAAGGCTCGATGATTTAATTATTTTACAATTTACATCTTGTCACCATCTAGGACTCGGCATTTTAAGTACAAGGGGGAGTTAAGTGCTGAGTACATGACCCGGTGCTGAGTACATGAACCTAGTCCTAAGTACATGACCCGGTGCTGAGTACACGACCCGGTGCTGAGTACATGAACCTGGTGCTAAGTACATGACCTGGGACTGAGTACATGACATGGTGCTGAGTACTTGACCTGGGACTGAGTACATGACCTGGGACTGAGTAAATGACCCGGTGCTGAGTACATGACCCGGTGCTGAGTACAAGACCCGGGGCTTTAAAACAGATGATACACCCACTTGATCACCGGTCAATAGGATAAAAAACAGCTTATTAAGGTCAGGAAGGAAGACCCTGGTGGTAATGTTAAACCTGTATGTCTCAGTCACTCATCACTGCCCACCTGTTGTTAGTTCATACGATAAGATAATGACTGATAACCCCTATGGATCTACACACCAACAGGCCTAATCATTACTCAGAAGAAATTAAAGCTATTTTTACATTCACTGAAGGACACCAGCGTGATATTTGAAGTCTAACTCATGGTGTGTAAGTTTAATGAACCAGAGACCCCTCGTGGGTAAACTCGTTCTCCTTCAGGAAAAAATATCGTTTCCAGCAGCACGGAGGCACTACACGGCGGCTGATATAAACAAATTCTCCGAGTAACTGGAAACTTACAGTCATACTTGTGAGCCTCGACGATTTTACGGGTCACAGTTCTCATTCCGTGAAGTTGACAAAAATAAGGAAAGAGAAATCTGCATTAATCCTTTACCCAGAGGACAGATTTCAGCTCCTTGGCAGTGGCAGAGAGAGAGAGAGAGAGAGAGAGAGAGAGAGAGAGAGAGAGCCGACTACGGGACAAACTCCTCCTGCACTTTTAAATGCAGTGCCTGGCTGTGGCCATTAGCTTCTCCATGACACGCTCTCGTATTTCGTAAAGCTTTATAAAGGCAATTTTCAAAACATTAAAATCTCGTTTGCAACACATGCTTCGCCGGGGAGCAGCACCCAAACGGCGCTTAAAGAACCCTTAATGGTCGGCCCGGTAGTTCCCCCAGTAAACAGAAGACGAGACTACAAGATCACGCTCTGACGTAGCTTGAGGTGTGGTGAGGGTGCACGTGTGGCCGAGGCTGACCAGTGACGTGTGTACGGGGGGAGAGGGTGACTGGGGAGGAGAGGGTGACTTGGGAGGAGAGGGTGACTGGGGAGGAGAGGGTGACTGGGGAGGAGAGGGTGACTGGGGAGGAGAGGGTGACTGGGGAGGGAGAGGGTGAGAGAGGGTGACTGGGGAGGGAGAGGGTGACTGGGGAGGGGAGAGGGTGACTGGGGAGGAGGGTGACTGGGGAGGGAGAGGGTGACTGGGGAGGAGAGGGTGACTGGGGAAGAGAGAGTGTAACTGGGAAGGAGGGTGACTGAGGGTGACTGGGGAGGAGGGTGACTGGGGAGAGGGTGACTGGGTGACTGGGAGGAGAGGGTGACTGGGAGAGAGGTGACTGGGGGAGAGGGTGACTGGGGAGGAGAGGGTGACTGGGGAGGGAGAGGGTGACTGGGGAGGGAGAGGGTGACTGGGGAGGAGAGGGTGTCTGGGGAGGGAGAGGGTGACTGGGGAAAGAGAGAGTGTAACTGGGGCGTGTGTCACCCAAGGAAAGCATGGCCGGGGAGTGTTGTGTAAAGTGACAGTTTACAGTGACAGAGGGAGGGGAACAGACAGAACCTTTGAGGAGTCGTGGTTTGGTCTCGCTGTCGGGTCAAACTCAGAGGAAGTGCTGATGTGGAACTAATGGCAGCAGAGAAGAAAACATTTCAAAAAATAAGTAAAAATTTTAATTACCTGCTGCTCATACAAGGTTCTGTCTCCCTGTCTTCCTCTCAACTCACATAGAATATCATTGTAATTTATTCACTTAAGGTAATATAGTTCTTCTTTGGCATTCTGTGAAATATACGAATTTTGTTTTTTTTATAATATAATAATCATAACATTAGCTCGAGGGCGGCAAGTTTCTCCTATAATGATGGCTAAACTACCGACCACCCACCACATACATCTGGGCCACCCGCTGCCACCCACCCGTGAACCACCAACTCACGCCTAAGCTCGTCCAACAAATTTCTTCCAATGAGACTCCGAATCCTATAATGTTTCATGATTACATACCGATGATGTGAACTAAGAGGGTGTGTGCACAAACTCCCGCTAACCCACTGAATCCAGAGTAACGGTATTGAAGGGCGGAGGAACGACAAGACACGAGGAGTCTTCTTTCCTGCCACAACTCTCTCATAACTACCTGTTTGCTCATATACTACAATAACCCTTGACCTTCACCATCGTTGTTAAGGTTATGGTTAGGTTAGGTTAAATGAGAAGTTTGTTAACCTCGCCTGCAAAAACCTGATCAAGGGGACACAAACCTCAAGAGCGAAAGAGGACCTGTGAACTGTCGACTACTGTAACGCCTAGTAATTCTCTTTATCTTCTGTTGTTGTCCATTATTCCCTCAACCTCTATTTTCATTCTTTCTCTATTTCATTTCATTCGTTTGTTCTTCATAACTCTCTAATTCCGTTCCTTCTCTATCTACTCTCTCTATCTTATTTTCGACCAAAGTGTGTTCACCCGTCGACCTGCTCTGGGTTCGTGGCCACACCTGCGTTACGTGTTCCAGAAGTAGTGCCAGCTGTCGGGGTAGAGGGTGAGGTGAGGTCTGGGGCTTCAGGGAGTCACGGAGAGGAAGGGAGGGGAAGGCCAGGGGGCAGGGGGCCGTGGCAAGGTTACTCAGGCCGGTGGTGCCTCCGTCGTGACCCACTGCTGGGGGCTGGAATGCGCGGCTGTCGTCTGGAGCTGCACCGTCAGGCAGTTTAAATTAATGCACGTGATATACACAACGGCGTGTTCTGCACCTTCCATGTAACAAGGGATTAAAAATTTGATGACCAGTGCAGAGGGGAGGGGAGGGTAGGGAGGAGGGAGGGAGGAGGAGGAGGAGGAGGAGAGGAGGAGGAGAGGAGGAGCAGGGGCAGGGGGATGGAGGGAGGGGGTTAATTGAGTCTCAGGTCACATTTACCGTCCAATCAATTTCTGTGAATATCGGCATCACTTGAACGTACTGTGTAATCTGGCCTCCATCAGCAACGTTACATTTTCTATGGGTCAAACTTGCAATTTTAACTTAATCTAACTTTAACATATACTAAGTGTTGGAGCAGTTATAATTCCTATCCTTCCTATCCCCAAGGGCCCTGTGTAGGTGTACCAGGAAGTGTAAGTGATCTAGCGAGGGACTTTGGTTGAAGGGCGTGATGATCCTGAAGATGTCTGTCTTAGTGTAATATAACACGGCGACTCGTGACACTGGTGGTGGCTACAGGGGACACGTGACACTGGTGGTGGCTATAGGGGACACGTGACACTGGTGGTGGCTACAGGGGACACGTGACACTGGTGGTGGCTATAGGGGACACGTGACACTGGTGGTGGCTACAGGGGACACGTGACACTGATGGTGGCTACTACAGGGGACAAGGACACCATGGGTGGGCCACAGGACACGCACTGGTGGTGGCTGGCAGGGGACACGTGTGACACTGATGGTGGCTACAGGGGACACGTGACACTGGTGGTGGCTACAGGACACGTGACACTGGTGGTGGCTACAGGGGACACGTGACACTGATGGTGGCTACAGGGGACACGTGACACTGGTGGTGGCTACAGGGACACGTGACACTGGTGGTGGCCACAGGACGTGACATTGGTGGTGGCTATAGGGACACGACTGATGGTGGCTACAGGGACACGTGACACTGATGGTGGCTACAGGGGACACGTGACACTGGTGGTGGCTACAGGGGACACGTGACACTGGTGGTGGCTACAGGGGACACGTGACACTGGTGGTGGCTACAGGGGACACGTGACACTGATGGTGGCTACAGGGGACACGTGACACTGGTGGTGGCTACAGGGGACACGTGACACTGGTGGTGGCTACAGGGGACACGTGACACTGGTGGTGGCTGCAGGGGACACGTGACACTGATGGTGGCTACAGGGGACACGTGACGGCTACAGGGGGACACGTGACACAGCAGCAGCAAGTCCAGGGAGGTCGGGAGGATAAAGAGGATATCAAAAACAACATCCAGGGGCTTACACCGCTCTCCCTCCACCCCAACTTTTACCGCTGGGGACAAAGAGACGCGTCAGAATAACTAATGCTACACGCTGTAAAATAATCCAGGTGGTATTGGCTGGCATCATAAACAAATTAAGTTTCATTGTGAGGTAGATGACGGAGGAGGAGCAGGTCTCTCTCTCTCTCTCTCTCCCTGACCACAACACATCAAGGTTATATTCAACGTGTCTCGGGTCGCTCATATAGGGAGATGGATAGTGTCTGAAAATACCTGATCTAATTTACGTGAGAGGAGAGGACGGTGCAGCACGACACTCTCAGCTCCAAGAACAGATTTGGCGACGAAGGGCAAGCAACCAGAGAGACCACATTGGAGTCAATAGTCAGATTTTTCAACTTATAATTTAGATGTTTCGCGCTAGTTTGTTTGTTATCGTTCTACTGTAGACCGATATAATGTGTGACTGTGTCTAATACGCCTCACATCTGTCGTCCAGTATACACAACAATAGTGTACACTGTTCATGGGGGTCAGTGCCACGTTCTGATGAGTTTCGACTAATCCTCCTCCGTCCTCCAGAAAGTATATGGTGAGTCGAGACCTGTTGATATATAATACTGTACAGGACCAGTCATTAACTTCTTGGTCCCCGGTAGAATGATATTGACGGGAATGGCTTGGACTGGTTGTAGACGGCGAAGAGACTTGGTTTACATATACTTAATACTGATATAGACTGTAGGGTAAGACATCTTCTAATTCCTCACTAAAGAAATACCTCAGGTGCTGCTAGGATCTACACTACACGACACTGCACGAGTTATATGATGATGGGAAGGTAATAGGTAGTAGGCAGCTACCAAACAGGGAGGTACTACCGCCTGGGAAGATATTGGAAGCATAATGTGTTGTCTAATGGTGGACCCTGCTGCCATATGTGACCAAGTCCCAGGTTGCTGATCTGACTTTCTTTTTTTTTGACAACACAACATACATATATCGTTTCTCACTCTTGGTCTTTTTTACATTTTTTGTTCATATATATATATATATATATATATATATATATATATATATATATATATATATATATATATATATATATATATATATATATATATATATATATATATATATATTTTTTTTTTTTTTACAGGGATTAGCCACGGGCACAGGTAATGACACACATCAGGGCCTGGGGGCGAAAATATAATAAAATAAATAATTATAATAATACAAATAAGATCTATTATTATTACTGCATTATTACAACAATTAATAAAATTAATAAAAAAAATAAAATAATAGTTACCATAAATAAAAACAAAAACGAAAAAATAAATCATGAGTGAGAAACGATATATGTATGTTGTGTTGTCAAAACAGAAAAGAAAGTCAGATCAGCAACTTGGGACTTGGTCACAATTTTCGTGTTGCCATATGGCAGCAGGGTCTACCATTAGACAACACATTATGCTTCCAATATCTTCCCAGGCGGTAGTACCTACGGTTCTTTATTATTATTCACTTTATTATAATTTTTATTTATTATTATTATTATTATTATTATTATTATTATTATTATTATTATCATTATTATACTTCCGCCCCCAGGCCCTGATGTGGGTCAGTGACCTGTGCCCGGGTGGGGTAGTCCCGGTAAAAAACAAATGTTCTTCACGGTTAATAACTACGACCTACACTCCAGTCAACGACTAACCTATGACATGGAACCCCAAACAAATATTTCCTGGAGAGGTTTATATTTCAAACGGATAAAAAAAGCAGACGCCATGTGATGCGGCACAACAGTTATATCACTTAAATAACGCTTCTTGGAGTTGTTTTGGTTGTTGAGGAACGCCGCGTGAAGTGAGCGACACGGCCCAGAGGTCACTTACACCCACCGCTGGTTCACTTCACCCCATCCTTCCCTGCATATCTGTTACTCCTCTTAATATTCAGTGACCATTTGCAGTGCAAACACTAAGGTTATTAAAAGAATAATACGTACATCACTTTAACCATCGTAAATAAATTAACCACAATCACTTCAAAATAAAATTAATGTTGGTGTCTCACAAAGTAACATTTATGTCCACATGTAGTCACTGTTACAGTCATTTCAGACAGCAACAGTCTTCGCGACAGATACAGTCGCAGTTGGATTTACACAGATCACTGTCACACAACACAACACGCTGGGAGTAAGTCATCAGTCCAACCAACGCAGGACCCCCAGTGACCTGATCCTCAACACCCACACCAAACACACACTCCCTCTAATATGGAAATGATCTAGGCCAAGTAAATCACTCGTTGTTTTGAAGCTTCACGACTCTTACTACTATAAAAGGCCTCAGATGTTTATGTCACACTCAAGGGTTTTGATAATAAGTCCACGTGTGTTGTTAGCTTCCGAAAGAACTTGAAAAATCACAGCACAGAACAGTCTCTGGCTCAAGCCGAGAGAGAAAGAGTCTTTGCCGTAAGTTGGGAGACTACCAGCGGTGTAGTCCGTCAGCCAATCGAAGATCAAGTGGCGACAGCGTCACCTGCAGCAGATGACACGCAGCTAAGCGCACACTTAATACTACAGATTCTCTACAGCAAGACACACGTAGACCCGCTGCCACTCCCGCATATCTTCCCGCAATATCACCCGCGTGAGAACTGGCGATAAACTTGCGATGCGACCAGTCAAAGTTACATGCGCGACACTCCTGAAGCTCACTACTGACTGCATGACACGAAGAGCTACGCGTCTCACTGCTCTGCTTCTTCACCAGCAACTGGTCGGCTGGCCATTGTAGCGACAGCTGGATGTGGTGGAGCCGCTGACTTACTTTCTCCTGTGGCCGATCTAACCGACGTCTTGGTCATCAGGGAAACTACACGAAAGTGCTTTGTTGAGCCCGAAAATGAGAGGACTAAACTTCAAACTGTCGGAGATAAAGAGAGCGGCAGTGAAAGGAGCTGTGGAACAAGAGAACACAGAAAATAAAAGAGAAGAGACAAACACAGAGGATGATAAACAAATTTGACCGATTGTGTGAAAACTGGTATATATTTACTGGACTGAAGTGGCGGAGCGAGACTTGAACAATGTGTGAATAACCATAAGAAGGAAGACATTACAGTGTTAAACGGAGGGATGGTTTTAGCGTCGTCAGTGGCAGGATCATATGGCAACAGGTGAGGGGCCCAAACACACGTTACTGGTAAACACTGGAGGGAGGGGGCACAGCTACACCAGGCAACGATGAATGAAGCAAGAGACATAGAGATAACTGTTTCAGCACTTTGATGATGATGATGATGATGATAGTGATGATGGTGGAAATTCGTGTGTAAGGGAATGATCGACGCCACAATATGTACCACAACAACGATCGGAAAGACATTAATCTTCTCTTCTCAACACCCTGACCACCACTCACAGATCAACACAACTCGTCCTGGTGCAAGTTCCATCAGACCAAAGTGTAGAGACAAACACTGCCAGCTCCGACGAATATCAAAACAATAATATCCGTCTACAACTACCAGAGAGCCGCTGATAGAATACCAACAGACGTACACACACACACAGTTCCCCCACACCCACACATGCATACAAAGCGCCCCCCCCACCACACCTACACAAAAACAAACACTCACATACATACAGTTTCTGATACACACACACAAACACACAATTCTCCCCCGTACCGACACAAACACATCGCTCCTCACACACCCACACAAACACACACACGGCGCCACCCTTCCACACACACACACACACACCATGGTTATACGTTATCTGCCACTCCCTCAAATTGGTGGATGGTAATAAAATGCAGTGGATAGAAAAGCAAAGTGAATGTAATTGTGATAACGAGAGGAGAAGAAGGATGCAGATGAACAATAGATAGAGCAAGAAGATGTTGAGAAAAAGATGTAAATAATATCAAAGGAAGAGTGGTAAGTGAAGTGGACGAGGATGGTGAACTTAGCTAGATACTGACCCCTTCCCCCACCTCCCCCTCGGCCCCCCACAGTTGACGGTGAGGGCGAACGACACACAAACACTTACACATTATACAACAGTTATCTGATAAACAATGATAGTAAAAGAAAGGGACCAAAAAAAAACCAAAAATAGACGTATCTACACAACGACGTCCAGAGGTAATCACAGAACGCACGCAAGCACACTGGCACTATAGTTTCCAATATACAATCACACTCATATAAAACTACACTGTCACTCCGCTCGAAACACACACACACACACACTTGCACAACATACACACACACTTGCACAACACACACACTTACACAACTCACACATAACTAAATTCATGCATAAGGGCGAGAACACACCATACAGCTACACACAAAATCTAAAACCAGACACACAAAAAAAACACAACTCCCCCTTCCCCTCCAACAAAAAAACAGGGGGACACCCGGAACCTACAGCAGGCCGTGGAAAACGTTAATGTTTAGGGTAATATGCAAATGGGTAAAGGTATATATTCATACTGGGCGGATTTACACACATATAAGAACACCAGAGAAGAGTAAGTGTGGTAGGGGCGTCGTACAGTGTGGTAGGGGCGCCGTACAGTGTGGTAGGGGCGCCGTACAGTGTGGTAAGGGCGTCGTACAGTGTGGTAGGGGCGCCGTACAGTGTGGTAGGGGCGTCGTACAGTGTGGTAGGGGCGTCGTACAGTGTCTATCATCCCCTCCCACCACACACACACACGCCACCCACTGAAGCACCTCCTCACACATCCGAAAAGCAAATAAAAGATACATTACAATTCGATCCCAAGAAGAACCTACAGTGCTTCGCCAAGATTGAAAGTGGTAAACTCTTGGGCAAGATACCGTATCAAAACGCACCTGAGTCTCGGCACATTTCTGTCACCAGGATTAACATTGGACTCGAACAAGTTAATTTTCTTTCGACTTCGAGTGATTAGACACAACAGCCTGAGACCGACACTGACATATTTGGGAAATTCACGAAACAGAGAAGAAACGGGAGTCGGGAGGAGCTTACACAGTACAAGCGAGAGCGACTGAGGGGGGAGCTTGAAAGGAGGAAGGGATTGAGGGGGAGGAAGGGGCTGAGGGGAGGGGGGGGTTAAGGGGGAGGAAGAAGCTTTATCCCCCTGAGTATAATATTCCATTGTACGCAAAGGAATGGGAAACTGTATTCATGAGGTTAAGTCACTATATTCATGAGGTTAAGTCACTGTATTCATGAGCTTAAGTCACTGTATTCATGAGATTAAGTCACTGTATTCATGAAGTTAAGTCACTGTATTAAGTTCTTACTGTAGTCACTGTATTATAGGTTAAGGTCATAAGGAGGTTCACTGTAGTTAAGTCACTGTATAATGAGGTTCAGTCACTGTATTATGAGGTTAAATCACTGTATTCATGAGGTTAAGTCACTTTTATTATAGGTTGTTCACTGTATTCATGAGGTTAAGTCACTATATTCATGAGGTTAAGTCACTGTATTCATGAGCTTAAGTCACTGTATTCATGAGCTTAAGTCACTGTATTCATGAGGTTAAGTCACTGTATTATAAGGTTAAGTCACTGTATTCATGAAGTTAAGTCACTGTATTCATGAGGTTAAGTCACTGTATTATAGGTTAAGTCACTGTATTCATGAGGTTAAGTCATTGTATTCATGAAGTTAAGTCACTGTATTCAGGAGTTCAGGTGAGTGGCATGACACATACACACACACATACACACACAGTACAGGTGACACCCTATTTACATAAACAACGAAAACATATACACCGACAAAAAAACAACAAAAAAACAACGAAAACAAACATTGACAAGGAAAATTTTACTCGGATAATTAGCACGGAGAAAATTTTGGGGAACCGGTTCACTTCCACCTTTTATAAGTCAACAGTTTAAACTTTCAGGACTTTTAGATACACGAATTCCCATACCTGACATGCACCACGTGTAGGTACAAGAGACTGCCCCTCACTGTTTACAATACCTTTACATTTACCTGTTGGGACCGGTAGGAAGCCCGACCTAGCCTTGGGTTGGGGTGGGATTGTATAGTTGCTCCCTTGTTGTCACGCAGGTAGGAAAGGGGGAGCGGTGGGTAAGGTGGAGGGAAGGAGGGAGTAGCAGGGGGCGGAGGGGAAGGGGACGAGAGGAGAGGCGAAACAGGAAGGGAAGGGAGGGGTGGTGAGGGAGGGTTGGTGCAGCTCTACAGGTGCTTCCTCTACTGTGTTCTCTGTGTTGTGGGACTATTCAGAGTACAACTACGGAACTCCCAGAAGACCCTTGTAACCTGATGTAGTCGCTGCAGGAGGATGGTGGGTAGGTGGGTGGGCGAGGGAGTGTGTGGGGTAGGGGGGGTCACCACAAAATTACTTACGTGGTTTATCAAAAGACTGGTTAATTTTCTTTAGTGGTAAGTCATGTGTAAAATAATGCAATAAGCGCCACCAACACCCACACAACTCCCTGCTCCACATAACTAGTGGTCAGGGTAAAAGACTCAACATTTTTGTTATTATTTCTTGGTAATATTTTTCTTTAATTTGTTTTATGTCACGAGAGATGGAGAAGATATCAACCAGAGTTAACATAAAAACATCTACATTAAATACGTCTGGAAGTTTGTCGAGTTAGGTATTTATGTTGGTGTGAAGGTCGTAGTTACCCTCTACAGTGAGATGTATTAGTCATTTACATAATATAAGTTTATCATTTTTATTGGCATTAGCCCACCCGGGAACAAGTCACCGGGGCCTGGGGGGGGGGGGATGCGCCATAAATAAAGAGACTGAACAAATAACACAGACCAAGAGTGAGAAACGATATGTTTGTTGTGTTGTCAATGGTAAGAGAAACAGTTGAGACCCTGCAATTGTGTGTAAATGAGGCAGAAAGTCGGATCAACAACCTGGGACTTGGTCACAATTTTCGTGATGCCATATGGCAGCAGGGTCTACCATTAGACAACACATTATGCTTCCAATATCTTCCCAGGCGGTAGTACCTCCCTGTTTGGTAGCTGCCTGCTACCTTAACATGAACGCGAAACAAAGAAACTCGCATTTAATTTCACCATCTTTAACATTTTCCAAAACTTTAATAACAAATGACTCAACACCAAACTTAACTATACCAACCCACATACTATTGACAACCCTCTCTGATTCCTAACCAATGTCCTTCCATACGTAAGTGCATCATCAACCCTGACTGCCCACATCTATTCAAACACAAATACCTCTGTGCATTCTCCTCAACCCGCGAAAGTAATATAAGCGTGTGCATGACTATTGTTCATTACGTTGTGTGCTTGAGAATTTTTATATCAATAGTAAAGCAGATTCTGAACTTTTACTTTTACCAGGTGAGTAACACATGAACCTCGGTGACACAGATCCCTCAAGTCTCCACATCAAAATCAGTCAGATATTGGTGTCCAGGAGAGGGGGACAGGTGTGAGTATGTTCACTTATCCTCTGAACGTGTCAATATGCTTAAGTCTTTCTATATATCGGTGTTATCGTTACTGATCCACATATTTCACTTGATGGTTTGAGCTGAGAAGAAACACACCTCGAGGGTAACAGGGTATTATTATAGCGACTGTATAAACACATCACCAACTCTTTATTAAAACTCTGATGCTGGTTAAGATGGATGGTCACTTATAACCACTTTGGTGTACGAATTAATTACAGCTTTATTGTAATTCAAACTTTGTGGACGCAGAGAATAAATTATCCACTAACTAACTTACATTTTA